TGTGTGTGTGTGTGTGTGTGTGTGTGTGTGTGTGTGTTTGTGTGTGTGTGTGTGTGTGTGTGTGTGTAATTCTATCAGCTACCTGGTCTCTAGAACCTTATAAACATACCACACCATTGGCTTTCTAGTGTTGTCAACCCCATCCTCAGGCATCTTGTTAGAATAAACTACCAGCTTCCAACCATAAATGATTCCCGTCACGTAGGAGAGTCCAAGGATTTAGAGGCTATTTCCAGAACATGGGTCAGAACAGCCATCTATATTATCACATATCTGACAGTCCTACTCATACGCATAAAATCTCCTTAAGAATGAAGACTGCTCCCATAAAAGTCTGATCAGAAACATGCTAGACTGGAAATGACCCACATTCTTTAAGTAGGTAGATGAATTCCAGTGGAACACCTAGTGGAATATGCTAGTCGGCAAAATAAACAGAAAACTAAGAACCGAGTCACACAAGATGGATAAACGTAATTGTGCTTTACTTACTATGTGACTGTACATTGTGAGTCTATTTATATGACACTATGGAAAAGGGAAAATTAAAAGGACAAAGAACAGTGGTAGTCAGAAGTCTGAGGTAAGTGTTACTTACAAAGGGCCACCACAGGGAAATCTTGGGGCTGCAGACTGTCATGATTAACTACATTAACACTGAATCAAAGAATAACAATACAGAGGGCAGAAAGAAAGGTGCTAAAGTAGTCTTGAAGTTGAGAACTTCAAATAACTGAAAAAGTGTTTTGTTTTGGGTTTTTTTTTTTTTTTGGTTTTTCAAGACAGGGTTTCTCTTTGTAGCTTTGCGCCTCTCCTGGAACTCACTTGGTAGCCCAGGCTGGCCTCGAACTCACAGAGATCCACCTGGCTCTGCCTCCCGAGTGCTGGGATTAAAGGTGTGCGCCACCACCGCCCGGGCTGATAAAGTGTTTTTGACATGATACACCAGCTGGGTGCCAGGGCATGCATCCAGCTACCTAGGAGGCTGAGGAAGGAGGATCCCTTGAGCCAGCCTGGGCAGTATGCACAACCCCATTTCAAAAACACACAAGCGATATTCAAGGTGGTTTTTTTCCTCATAAAGATATAGATCAGATATATCATTAGTAAATAATAGAAAAACAAAGAAAGAAAGACAAAAAGAAAGAAAGGAAAGGAAAGGAAGAAAAGAAAAAAAAGAGCAAGCAAGGGCCGGGCATGGTGGTGCATGCTTTTAATCCCAGCACTCACGAGGCAGAGGCAGGCAGATCTGAGTCCAAACCAGCCTGGGCTACAGAGTGAGTTCCAGGACAGCCAGAGTCATGTAGAGAAACCCTGTCTTGAAAAAACAAAAAAGAAAACAAAAAATGAGCTTGTTCAAGTTAAATAGCTAATACCCTGTAGCCAATGATTCAGGCTTCACATGGTTGGCTATTATAAATAGAAGCAAAGCCTACAATGAGCCCTGTGGGATCAGATTGATGTAGAAAAACCTGCAGTTTTTCTCTAGAAAACAAAACACACACACACACACACACAAAAACAAAAACCAAAAAGCTATTTTAGCTGGGTATAAAGGCACATGCTCACAATCTTAGTATTCAGAAGCCTGAAGCAGGAGGATTAAAATTTCCAGTACAGCTTGGGCTACATAAGGACAGGCTAAAAAAAAAAAAAAAACAGTCTATATGCATACTTACCCACTGGCTGAAGAGTGATGATACTACAGTAAGAGTAAGCACACATATTTAGTTTCTAACATGATTTTCATATAAAAGTTGAATTATAGCTGAGCATGGTGGCTCATGTCTTTAATCTTAGCACTTGGGAGGCAGAAGTGGGTAGATCTCTGAGTTCAAGACCAACCTGGTCTACAAAGAAAATTCCAGGTCAAGTAGGGCTACATAGTCCCATTATGGTAGGGAAAATACAAGGTGAGCTTTTAGCATCCTTTGATTAAAATATAAGAATGTAATAATGGGACATATTAGAGCTAGGCATGGGGACACACATTTTTAATCCCAAAATTTGGGTGGCAGAGCAGGTAGACCTCTATGAATCTGAGATTAGCCTAGTCTACACAGAGTTCCAAATCACACAAAGAGACACAATGAGACTGTCTCAAAACCAAACAAATTACAAAGAGCAAGACGAATGTAGAGCAAGGATGCAGCTCAGCTGCCAGCATACACAAAGCCCTGGGTTCAAACCCCAGCACTGGTTAAGCATGGTGGCACAGGCCTATAATCCAAGTATTCCTGAGTAGAAGACTGGAGGACCAAAAGGACCAGAAAGTCAATGTCATCCATGATAAGACTAGACATACTTTGGCTTCAAAAACAAAAAAAAAAGTACTGCAAACAAGATTCATTACATGATCATTGCTGTGGTATGGTTACATATTGTACTAACTAAAGGAAAAGATGGGTCAAGGCTAGATGGGAATTCTCACATTTTCTTAATTCTTAGAAATCTACAATTATCTCAAAATAAAAAAACAACAACAAAATAGGACAATCTTTAATTTAAGCTTTATTTGTGTTTTGTTAAGCAAGATAAATTGCAAAAAGCACTGTGTCCAAACTTAAAAGCATCACACAATCTCCCTCAATTTCCCACGTGGGGACAATGCAGAACTTGTCTGTCTTAAAGATTACTGAGGGACTCAATGAATCAAGCTGTCAAAACTGTTCAGAAACAATATGCTCACATACACGTATTTAATCCCAGCACTTGGGATGCAGAGGCAGAGGCAGCCCAGTCTACATAGTGAGTTCTAGGCCAGGCAGGGCTACATAGTAAGGTTGAAGCTAGTGAGATGGCCAGCACTAGCACCTACACCCTAATCAGGCAGCTCACAAGTGCCTGCAACTCCAGTTGCAAAGGTTTTAAAGTGCCCCCTGGCTTCCTCAGACACCCAAATGCACACACACACAAATGAAAACTAAAGAATCCTTACAATAAAAAGTAAGTCCTTAAAGAAGATTTCCAGTAAAATGAAGGTACATGGCTCCTGAAGAATGACACCTGAGGTTATCTTCTGACCTCAACACATATGTGCACCTGTAGACACATGAGCACACACAAACACAAAACAGACACACCTTATATTGAAAGCAGTACAACAGAAAAACTAATAAAAATTACATCCAACATAAAAGAGAAACCGTTTTTTTAGGAGAGGTAGGGAAGATTGACTACTAGAGAACCAGGGGTGCAGGAGGACAGGGTAAACGGAGCAGTGGGGGTCTACTCTCATGCCGCTGCCCCTCTTCTCCCTACCTGTCTTCGGGCACAGCCAAGGTGGGCACAGAGCACCTTGCTCCTGGCATCATCAAAACACTGGCTATGCCTGACACTACAGTTTACAATGTGTTTGCCTAGATGCCAAAGCTTTGGGCTCTTTTCCCAGCACTAGCCAAACACCAAAAGCAAAATACCACCTCTGTGGATACTTTGGTATGTAGGATTGCTAGGGAATAGGGCAAGGATTATTCTTTCCATTGGGCATAGTAGAGCACACTTTTAATCCCAGCACTCTGGAAGCAGAGACAGGCAAATCTCTGTGAGTTCAAGGTCAGCCTAGTCTACAGAGTGAGTTCTAGGACAGCCAGGGCTACACAGAGAAACCCTGTCTTAAAAAACCAAAGACCAAACAAAACAAAGCAAAACAAAACAAAACCCCAAAAGAATTATTCTTTCTATAGATTCTACTTCTGTCATTTATTTATTTTGGTTTTTAAAAGGAAATCTAGAATAGAAGCCCGACCCTTCTTTGAACAAAATGCCATTGTCTCCAGTGCTAAGCAGCCACTGCAATAAAATAAAAAATGGCCTTCTGGTCCCACTTTCAATAAATTGCAGAGGCACATTTCTCAAGTTAACTTTATTAACAAAAAGTGCAAGCTGTTAAAAAAAAAAAAAGTCAACTATGAGTCACAGCATTGAGCAAGCCATCAAACACGGAGTGAATCATCATCACTGGAACAAGCAGGGAGAGCACTCTCGTGGACATACATCCATGCTTCTTCAACAATCTCTTGCCAGCTTTAAGTGCAGCTTTCACAAACACGTAATAGCTCAAACACAAACTCGGGAGCACAATGGCAAAATTTGGCAATCATTTGGGGTTGGGGCTAATCGGGGATATGAGAGAAAGCCTTACACACAGTTTCATGTTGATGTAAGACTGCAATATACAAAAATCTTTAGATGCACTCATTGAAATCAAAGTCCAGCCAATGGAAATAGTTTCAAAATATTAGCTGCACTACAGTAGTGTTTCAGGAAGCAGAAAAGATGAAAAAAAAAAAAACTTTAAGTGACCTTCCATGTCTTCACAGAACCAATCCACAGTGAGTTAACTCATTTTAAATGACACCTGTAAAGGTCAGACAACTGAATGAAGGTGTGCCATTAACCAGTGTGCCAGCACTCCAGCAAGCGAAAGAAATAAATAAAAGTTAGGCTAGCATCATATTTCAAAGAGAAGAGTCAGTCTAGTGTTGCTACAGCTATTCAGGGAAAGTATCCACTGAGTAGAATCTGTTCAGCAGCAAGTTTTCTGTTCGCTATTATACAGGCCCTACTGAAACTACAAACTAATGAAAACTTAAACAGCCATCTAAACCATGAGCCAAAGACACAAGAGCACTGATGCTGAACGAGTTACCGAGTCACACGCTGCCTCTGGGTGCTTTCTGGCACTTTGCAGGCTCTCCGTACTGCAGACAAGCTGCCTTTGTTAATGCACTAATTTGCTAATTAACGGAGCACTACACTGTTGGTTCATTACATGAGAAGGAACTCTTCCTCCACTTCATCTTTCCCCATGTACTATTACTGTCTTTGTACTAGAACTGTGTTCCTTCTAACAGGTTCAAAGTTACTATTTCAGGTAGAGAAGACGAACAAAGGACACTAAATCTGATTATCTGACTGCTGACAATTTTGAGCACCAACTTCCACCAAATTTCAGGGCCTAGGTAGCTTGTAACTTGGTTCTCGTGTCTGGCAATTACCTTCCACCGCCTTCATCGGTACTGAAGTGGAGATTTTCAGGATCAATTGGTTCACCATCAGGAAAACTGGAATGTGAATCTAAGAAAAAAATTGAAAGGAAAAAAAAATGAATGTCAGAAGGCATGTTTTCTTTGCCCAGGTCTTTCGTGATCTTACCAAATGTCTTACAGACTGATAAAGATGTGCTAGGTGGAGAACAAGTCTCTGTCTTCAGAGAATTTCTGATTTAAGTTGAATGTGAGTAAGAGGAATAAACAAAACAGGTACAGACACCAACAGTTAGAAGAGGAAAGCCACAGCGACACCTCCTCCTTCTGGAACACTGCCTGAGGAACAGAGATGGCGACACTCTCCAGCCTCAGAGTCCATGGACACAGATGTTCCTCGCACAATTCAACTGCCCACGCAATCATCACTGCAAAATCCCACTCGCACTCAAAGCAAGTTGCCTCAAACCCGGACACTTCTTTAGAAGCAGAGGGAATTGCTGAAGATGCCAGAGTATGTGAAACCATCAAATACTTGCCACTGTACTGAGAAGGGAACCCCCAGCATAAGCCTGGTACCTCACAGTGCACTTTCCTGTAATACTGTATCTGTTTACTTTCAGTCTGAGCACGAGAAATCATCCCATCAAAGCACAGAAAATTAAGCTATTCTAAAAGAGGAAGGACCAGGGAGATGGCTCAGGGAGTACAAATGCTTGCTGTTTGTCTGACAACCTTAGTTAAATCCTTAGAAATGGATTTGATGGGACACATCTGTAAGCCCAGCATCCCTATGGCAAGATGGGGCAGAGACAAGAGTCACCCAGAATCTCGAGGCCACCTAGTCTGGAGTCAAGTGCAATGGCAGAAACAAGGAGGACCGCCACAAAGAAAGGTGGAAGGAGAGAACTGACTCCCTGCAGTGGTCTTCTCATCTCCATGAAGCCGCTGACATGCACAACCCCATACTCACATACACATGACTTTTTAAAAAACACAGGGCTGTCCTAGAACTTGCTCTGTAAATCAAGCCGGTCTCAAATGTAGAGACCTGCCTGCCTCTAAATCAGGAGTGCTAGGATTAAAGTCACATACTACCACTCCTGGCACAAATAATTTTTTTGAAGGGAAAAATATTAACAGATTTCTCTTGTGCAGTTTTTTCACTAAGAATTCTTTTCTGAGGGAATATGAAGGAATAAAAAACTGATTCCAGGATTTGTATGCATACGTAAGAAATAAAAGGGGTTTTTAAAGTTATAGCATATGGGGGCTGGAGAGATGGCTTAGAGGTTAAGAGCACTGGTTGCTCTTCCAGAGGTCCTCAGTTCAATTCCCAGTAACCACATGGTGGCTCACAACCATCTATAATGAGATCTGGTACCTTCTTCTGATGTGCAGTCACACATGCAAGCAGAATAATGTATACATAATAAATAGATCTTTAAAAAAAAAAGTTACAGCATGCTAGAAAACAGAAAAAGTACTGAAGAGAGGTAAAAATATAAAACAAAAACGAAAAATCCCATTCACATGAAACTTCCGCAGAGATAGGCAATACTTCCTATCACAGGGTGCGGGCTGAATATTTAAGTGCTATAGCTCGCCCACTGTCCCTGCTGAAACTCTTTGTTCTGAGGTATCCTTGTCCACAAGCTATACAACACCAGGCTGCAGGCTTTTCCACACAGGAAGTGGCACTCAGGCGACTAACTGGCCAAACATAGCCTGACAACTTTCTCGGTACTTACCATATCATCTACCATAGAATATTCTCTCACAAATGACAGTAATTTTTTAACAAGATGTAAAAGCAGCAGAACAGAATGAGCAGAGGCAGCAGCAGAGGCAGAAAGAGCAGCAGCAGCAGCAGCGATGCTTTTATGAACCTGTGTAAAATGACAACATGCTGCACCTTCATCGGGGGGCTGAGCCAGGAACGGATCATTGAAGGAGCCCATGCTCGTGTGCTCTTCCTGCTCCTCGTTCTCAGTGTCACATTCAATGTCGCTGTCGCTGCTCATTCCTGGCAGGCAGAAGGGGAGAACACGTCTGGTAAGAATCCACTGTTTGGTGACAGGAAAGAGAAAGCTCGTATATACTGAGCTGAGAACCCTATTGAAGAGTAGCCACACAAACGTCAATTCTCTGCAGCTTTTTAGAAGCATCACTTGTACTTTTTCCCTCAATAGAACTGAGTACCCTAACCCCTGAAAGTTTTGTGAAGCCAATATTAATTTCAGTATAGTGAGAAAAAGTTTTCCACATTAAAAACTTCCTTAACAAGTTGTAAAAACAAAACAAAATAACAACAAAACCCCCCAAAACAGGCACTCTTTCAATCTGGTTTATTATAAGGACTAATAGTCTCTAGCCAAAAATATTCACAAATACAAGCATACATATTAGAAATGCATAGAAAATTCCAAGAATGCTAGTAGTAAATGGTTTCCAATCTATTTGTCTCTCTCATATTTGTATGTATAATCAATTTTGACTTTAGAGACTCAATTATATATTTTTCATTAACACCTAGTAATTGTACACAGGGTGTAGTATGTCACTTTATACCTATTTATAATATGTAGTGACCAGGGCAGTTGACATATCTACCATCTTAGCTGTGTATCATTTATCTGTCTTGGGAACATTCAAATCCTCTCTACTAGCTATTATAAAATATTATATTAATCATAGTCGACCACAGTTATCCTACTGAACTTTGGAACACTGTAAGTTATTCCTGCTGCTCAACTGTTTCTTTATGTCCATTAAGTATCCTCGCTTCATTCTCCATCACCATTCAACCCTCTTCAAGGTTCTGATAGCCACTATTTTATTTTTTGCTTCAAGATCAACTTTTTAACTTCTACATATAAGTGAAAACATGTATTTTTTTTGTGCCTACTTTAATAAAAACAATATTTAATAAAACAATACTCTCCAGTTCAATCTATGTTCCCACAAATGATGTGATTTCATTGATTTTTAAAAGCTCAATAGTGTTCCATTGTATAAAGTTTCCCTGTCATATATGGAATACACTTTGTCCCACCAGACAGTGGTGGTGCACACCTTTTATCCCAGCACTTGGGCAGCAGAGGCAGGTGGATCTTTGAGCCTGGTCTAAGAAGTAAGTTCCAGGACAGCCACGGCTACCCAGATAAGCCCTGTCTCAGAAAACCACACACCTTTCTGTCCCTTCTGCAGTGTGCGCTGAGCCTTCAGCTTGTATTAGAAGTTAACAGCTGGGGCCGGGTACCCCCCAGGCAGCTCTCTGCAAGTTCAGCAGTCATGGCTTCCTATGTCTCTGTCTACTGCAGGAAGGGGCTTCTTTGATGAGGTACGGGTAGGTAAGAGCTACATTTATCTTCGGGCACAAGGATTAAGTATTTAGAATGCAGTTACAATTGTACTAGTTTAGGGACGTGGCAGTAGGACTCTAGGGCCCATGGCCTTACCAGCCACAGATGCTGGCTGGATTTACAGTACCGAGCATGAAATCCCCCTAATAAGAGGGCCTGAAGTCCAAATAGACAGCTGTCGGTTACCCCAGGATTTGAAGTGCCACTACTGTACCATGTCGGATATCTTGCTATCTGGTCATTGTTGTGGTTTGTAGGTGTCACAGCTAGATAGGACTGTCCATTTTTTTCTCCCCTGGTAATGCCTTCTGGTGCTATAAGAGTCTTCAGGGAGGAGGCTTTCAGGTCAGCTCCAGTTCCATTCCTCCAAGTCTTCTTTCCAAAGTGTGTGGTTTGCAGGGGTTTTGTTGTTGCTGTTGTTGTATTTTGGTTTTGGGGGTTTTTTTGTGTATGGGGGGGGGATGTGTGTGCGCATGTGCATGTGGACTCTGAGGATTAAACTCAGGTCATCAGGCTTGGCAGCAAATGCCCTTACCCACTGGATCATCTCACCAGCTCCAAAAACTAAAATTCTCTTTGAAAGAACACAAAATAAAAAACACAAGTCTGCCATAGGTACAAGAAAAGAGTAAAAGGGCCAGTAGATGATGGAGAAAGGGAACCAACTCCCTTAAGTACACTCCTAGGTTGATTCCTCTGACCTCCACATGGGAGCCATTGGCACATCACGTACAGTACACACAAACAAGCATAATTTTAAAAATTAAAAAAGAAACAGCAAGGAACTTTGTGTTTATGGCAGGCTTATTAAGAGAACAAAAATGTTAAACAAAGGTCAGTAGTGTCTCCAAAGGCTTACACATACCAAGCATACACTCTGGCTTTTAGCTCATGTGCAGCCTTTAGGTTTGGGATTTAAATCCAAGGTTCAAATCTCAGAAATTTACCACAAGAACTGTTCAGGAGCTACTGCTATATGGATAAAGCCAATGCAGACACCTTCTTGGGAGGGAAGGCTCTCACTTAACAGCAATAAACTCTGGACAAAATCATGGCATAGCTTCTTAAGGACTCTGAAAACTGAACAGGAATAGGAATATTGCTGCAGTCAATCGTTGAAGCAAACTAGCCAACTCAGGTTTCATGATGTCACATAAAAATGTCCAGGATGAACCCCCTGCCACTGGATTAGCCACAAATGTCCATGACACAATCTAGAACCCAGAAAGTGCATCAGTAATTAATGCCACGGTGACACAGACACTGGGGTTCTCTAACAAGACTTCTAGGTTTGTCACAAATTCTCAATGTCAAATAATTTTGAGGAAGTTTCTAGGACAGATCACAAGAATAACTAGGGAAGCAGGAGTCTCAAAAAAAGGTGTGCAAACAATGCAGCTGGGCAGTGGTGGTGCACGCCATTAGTCCCAACTCTCAGGAGTTCCAGGACAGCAAGAGCTGCTACTCAGAGAAACCCTGCCTTGAAAAATCAAACCAAACCAAACCAACAAACACCCAAACCAATGCAAACAATGTATGTGAAGCAAGAAAAGTTTAAATTTAAAAAATTTTCCACCAAAGAAAACTGTAGGGGGGGCTGGAGAGATGGCTCAGTGGTTAAGAGCGCTGAATGCTCTTCCAGAGGACTCAGGTTCAATTCCCAGCACCCACATGGCAGCTCACACCTGTCTGTAACTCCAGTTCCAGGGGACCTGGCACCCATGGCAAAACACCAATGCGTGCGTGTGCGCGCACACAAAAAACAACAAACAAACAAAAAAAAAAACTATGTTTTCAAGCATCTAGGTTACGTTTCTTCTTCAGTGTTCAGAATACAAAGTTTGCACCTGGACGTTATTAAATGTCTCCAGTTTTTTTTTTTTTTTTTTTTTCTTCCGAGACAGGGTTTCTTTGTAACAGCTCTATCTGTCCTGGAACTTGCTCTATAGACCGGCTAGCCTTGATCCCAGAGATCTGCCTGCCTCTGCCTTCTGAATGCTGGGATTAAAGGCACACACCTCCACTGACTGGCTTCTCCACTTTTCATAAAGAACACATGCACATGAAACATTCTTGCTCTGAAGAGGAATATACAAGTATTCCCTTTTTTGGTTTGTTTTTGAGACAATCACAGTCTCATTCCATTGTCCAGTCTGGCCTAAAACTAACAACAGCTCAGCGTGACCTCAAACTGAGGTAATCCCCCTGCTTCGGCTCCCCAAGTACTAAGATTACAGACATGAACCACAATGCCAAACAACAGAACCAACCCTAGCTCCATCTGTGAAACATGACTCCCACCTTGTGGCTCCTCATGGAACTGGTCCCTGAAAACACAGACTAAGTCTCCAAATTGCAGTTAGACACCTGACCTTTCAGTACTATTCCCTCACTGATGGTACTTATGAGACATGATTAACTAAGATGTTTCAGAAATACTACAATGAGAAAAAAAACGTGTAGCTGCAACAAATTCTGAAAGGGTCTATGTCAGTCAGCTGAAGCCAGATGGAGAGACATCTCTCTTAACAATATCAGATGCTTGAAATTCACAGAGAAGCAGGCAATTTGTTTTTTACCTACTAATAATTTACAGCTGCCCTTCTCACTGCCTTCTAAAGCAGTGGTTCTCAACTTTCCTGATGCTGCGACCCTTGAATACAGTTCCACATGTTGTGGTGACTCCCAACCATAACATTATTGTTGCTACTTCATAACTGTACTTTTGCTACTGTTTTGAATTGTAAATATCTGAAACGCAGGCCATCTGCTAGGCAACCCTGTGGGGGTCATGACCCACAGGTTGAGAGCCACTGTTCTAAAGGACACTTACCATTGTTTAAGAGTCCTCCCTCCTCTGCAAGGCTGTACAGAGTAACAGAGTGGGACCAAATGACTGGAGTTTGCCAATTTCCCTTGTAGGTTGAACAGTAAGATACAAGATGAGGGGCTGGAGAGATGGCTCAGAAGTTAAGAGCACTAGCTGCTCTTCCAGAGGTCCTGAGTTCAACTCCCAGCAACCACATGGAGTCTCACAACCATCTGTAATGAGATCTGAGGCCCTCTTCTGAAATAAAGGTATATATGCAGATAGAGCACTCATACATAAAATAAATAAATAAAGCTTTAAAAAAAAAGATAAAAGAAGTTAGGAAGCTGCTGACTGGCTCTGAGAAAGGTTTTCCTTGTTGATAGTGATACAGAGAATAAACAACCCTCCCCAGAAATTCCAGGATGTGATTCAGAGTTCTTACCAAAATTGCAACTGAAGCAACTACCTTGTCACTTTCAGAAAAGCTAAGCCAATTCACTGAGACTTTGAATTCAGAGATGACACAAGCAGAAAAACAAAAAAGTACAGGCTCACACCTGTAATCCCAGCATCAAGAGGCTCAGGAGGCAGAACTGTTGTAGAATACTATTTTATCGTGTGTTAGTTGTTCATGTTGCATTTGTTTAACTCTGGGAAGCTGTGATACTTTGCCTGTCTGTCTAAAACACCTGATGGTCTAATAAAGAACTGAACAGCCAATAGCAAGGCAGGAAAAAGGATAGGTGGGGCTGGCAGGCAGAGAGGATATGTAGAAGGAGAAATCTGAGAGAGAAAAAAAGAAGTAGGCAGAGAAGGAGGACAACTCCAGGGGTTAGCCACCCAGCAAGC